CTCTCTCTCTCTCTCTCTCTCTCTCTCTCTCTCTCTCTCTCTCTCCCCCCCATCGTTCCCACTGCCCGCGGTTCGATCGTTGTACGCCCCGACACTGCCGTTTAGTCGCACCCTCGGACCCTGCCATCCTTGGGCACCATTTCATCGTGCCCTCCCGGCCCACCGCTTTCCCGCCCGCTCCGTTTTTCGGTCCCCCCCCCTCGCGATGACGGCTATGGTCCGTAGTACCGCCGCGAAACGACGTGCAGCGCATTCCCGCAGCAGCGCCGCGCCCTTTGGAACCGTCGGCCTCCGGCCGCTCGATCTTGCCACCGTCCGCCCGCGTTTTCGGTGGCCTGCGCACGCTTGCGTCCTCCTGGTCCCGCGCCCCTCCACTAGCTGGGCCCTTTGCTTGCTTTAAGGGTATAGAGAAGATGTACCCTTTCTACTCGAATTTCTAAAAGGAAAACCTCTTGTGCTCCAACAGCATATGACGTTTTTTTCTTTTTTTGGAGGTCAGCGGCTGCCCTTGTGCTCCCGGCCACTGACATGGTGCATGCTGCAGGGCTCTCTCTCTCTCTCTCTCTCTCTCTCTCACACACACACACACACACACACACACACACACAACACACATTCTGTTGTCTATTGGTGGGGAGCGGCACCTGCTGGAAACTGGGTCCAGCGTCCGATGACCCCCCCCCCTACACTCTTCGAGTTGTGTACAGCGAACATAGCAAAACGTACTCACACCATAATCACTACCTCACCCTTCCCCAACGGGATCAACAAACGAACTATGGGCTGCGCACCCGTGCCCTCACGGTAAGTCAATACGTCCGCTGGAATGTACCGCTGGAATGTTGGGGGTGAAGGTTCTGTGTAAATGTTGGGATATGGGCCTCGTGAGCAGAAAAAGGGCAAAAAAAGGACCGGCCGACTTCGGCCTGCAAATGAGGGAGATCTTTGTGCGGTCCAACGTCTGGTTCGGAGGATGCCACGTTGCGTCGCAGGCCGACTGTGAAGCGCCACGTGGCGGAACCCAGCGCGCAATATCGAGTGCGAATTTTGTCTGGTGGTGGTTATTTTTCGAAAGAAGGCTGAGTGAGGACGATAGAGAAATTTCCACGGCTGCTACCAGTTACACACCATCGCCGGCTGCAAGCGCTCCCAGCCGGTGTAAGAACAGCGAAGGGGCGTTCGGCGCACATTTGCGCACGTGCACGGCAGCGCTGCAACGCGTGGCATGCAACCGAGGGCTAGATCGTGAGCAAGATTGCTGCGTAGTATAGCTATTGGGGAAAAAAGAGAAAAACCAGCGCCAAGATTGTTTGCGGAATGTTGTCTTTTGCGGGATGGGGCCAGAACAGTAAGGAGAGTGGAGATTGAAGCAGGCTGTGTGGCTCGTTTTCTGGGGCTAAGGTTGCTTCTCTCACGCGAGGCGGGCCAGCCATGCAGGTGCTTTGCGTTCCCTGCTAGACGAGTCCACTTATTTCATTTTAAATTATCCGGGAGCTCTCCTTAACGCAAACAACTACGGACGTAGAGGGGGTAGAGAGGTGCGAGGGGAAGCATACGTAGGGGAAAGAGTGGAGGTGGAAGGGAGCGAAAGGCGGAGGCCGACAAGAACCCGGAACAGGAAAGCACCAAGGCGCTGGCGATGCAAACTGCAGCAATCCAAATGGAACCCCGCGCATTCCTGTGCAGTACACCGCGCACCATCACTGCACAGCTATCGAGCTTGACGTTGGCTCGAAAAAAGACGAGTGATAGCCGATGCGCCACACTCGACCGGGTGCAGATAAACTGCCAACCGGGGACTTTCGACCGTCAACAGGTGGGCTCTCTCTCTCTCTCTCTCTCTCTCTCTCTCTCTCTCTCTCTCTCTCTCTCTCTCTCTGCCTTTTTCTCACTCACTCATCCCGATCCTACCGAGGTCACTGGCTCGACTCTTGCTCCGCGTGCGAGTATGCTTGCGTGCGTGTGTGTGTCTGGGCGCGCGCGCGCGCGCGCGAGAGAGAGAGAGAGAGAGAGAGAGAGAGAGAGAGAGAGAGAGAGAGAGAGAGAGAGAGAGAGAGATGGCATGTGCGGCGGTTTCGTATCCGAGGGATTCACGGATGTGATGTAGGAGCAGCTTTTTAAATATCTCAAGTCGGTTGTTGATATGTTTTCCGTCGCTGAGCTGTGCGCGACCGCGTACACGGCGGCATATGAAACTCCTCGATACCGATCCCTGCCGCTTGGTTCAACAAGTTGCGCGGCTGCGTCTCTCTTGTGCCCTCTTTTTTCCTGTCTTCATTTATCTCTCCCTCCCGATCCCTTTGGCCTAACTTACACTATCATATCCGATTTTCTTTGATGTCTTCCATATGCCTGCCTACCTTGCACGTCCTTCCGCGCTCTATGGTGACATGCATTTTGTGTCTCCCTGATCGTCCTCCAGATTTTGCCTTCCGTCTGAAGATGGGGGTTATTATTGTAATTGGTCGCTGTCATACAGTTGAAGACAACATGGGAACGAACACATATAAGCTACTGCATTGCGTCAATATTGCAGAATACCAGAATACGACGCAATGGCCTTGACAAGAAGAAGAGAGACACAGGAGGAGGGGTAAAGAGAATATTGGTGTAAAAATAAGGATATGTCGACGAAGTAGAGACATAAATGGCTTTGGCTAAAAGAAGAAAAACTCGAAAGTGGGATAAGAAGAAGAAGAAGAGGAAGAGGAGAAACAAAAAAAGGAGTAGTTGGAGGAGGAGAAGGAAGAAAAACAAGAAGAAGAAGAAGAAGTGAAAAGTGAAATAATAAGAAGAATAAGAAGAAAAAGAAGAAGAATTAGAAGGG